GCCGACCGACAACGCCCCGGGGCAGGCAACCTCCGACTGGACATTAGAGATTTGTATATCTGCGGGACCCTCGTTCTCCACGAAAAGGGAGAAGATCCAGAAAGTTCGATCCCTCTCGACGACCGGACACTTTAGTCGTAACCAATTTTTGTAAATTAAAGGGGATAAAATTTACGTAGCCGCAGAGTTGTCTCTGTGCCTAACGTACCCACGTACGATTGGGCATTACTCGGATATCCCGCTGTTACGCGTACGTCGTTCGAACGAAATTTTGCGCATTGATAAAAGTAATAAAATGGCTGGTGGTGACGGAGACCGAATTTTAATATTCAACGTAGAAGGGACGATATCGGAGGTCAAAAGTCGGGAGAATTTTGCGTAAAACAAACGAGCGCGCGCTACTCGATATTCGAACTTTGCCAAGCTGTTTCCAAACTTTCTTTTAATGCCCGATGTACTCGTTTCGTTTTTCTCGAAAAATTGACTGTATATATCTTAACCCATGTGCCTAACGTATTATTTACGTTAAGAAAGATTTAGAACAAAGGATTTCACTGTTTACGAATTTTGGCAAATTTAATTATAGATTTTATACTTTATTTGCATAATTTTTTAAATTTATTCTGCGCGTACGATAAGGGCCTTTTTCGAGCCCACAAAAGGGGCATGGCGTGACGAGAATCGAAGCCGAGAAAATTCCCGGTGTTGCTCGATTTCGGACGCCCTAGTCCACGGGTTCCCAACCTATGGGTCGCGACCCAGAAGGGGGTCGCGACGGGTTTTCTGTGGGGTCGCCAACTTATACAGTAAACTAAAAAAAATATTCACTATAATGCAATTTTTANAATAATTGTTGCTATTGTATTGTTAAAAATTATTTTAAAATTATTTTATTGCTCACAAAACAAACCACCATTCATAGAAAATTAAGTCTCGTTCAAATACTGGCCTCCCTTCAATGGTTGAGCCATGTTGCCAGCTAAAACACACAAAAATTTAACAAAAATAATATTAAAGTAGCCAAGACATAGCCAAATATTGTAGTGCCACATCACTAGTGGACATTTGAAATTTGCCGACTAGAACGGTCAGTTAACCGATGTGACTGTTAATTGGGGGTCGGATAATCGATGCTCTACTGTACATATTAATTTTAATTATATCAAAATAATCGCGCAATATTTTATTATAACCGCATTATGTATCTTATTACAAATTTTTATACTACACGTGAAAAAAAAGATAAGATTGCTATTGTATATTCGGATATTAGTGGTGGAGTGGAAGTGCTGTATTGTCAGCATCCAAAAAGCCAGATTTGCGCATGCACTTTACAGAACACCAACCTCACCCGGTTTAGCCGGTGGAAGCCTAGGACCTTGGGTGGATGCTACACATATGCATCCAATTCTATCCGGGACCGGTTCCGGTCTGTTAGCTGCCTGCCTGCTAGATATTTGGCCGCCCTCGCCCGATTACACGAATCGCGAGTAGATTTATAACTTAACCCAACCAATAAGAATTTACTGGTATATTTTTATGATAGTTTTGTATAGTTGATAGGAGTTTTAAAAAAAATCCATTAAAATATTTGATTTTTATTCTGCTCTCCGATTTTATATTACTGGCAGATTTCAATGTTAAACCAGTGATATTACATATATATATATATATCCCATCTTTAAGGGAATGTAGAAAAAAATGTGTACAATTCTTGTATGATGTTAAAAATATTAACTGTTACTTTGACAGCATTATTTACAACTAAATTTAATGAATGAGAGAGATGCACGAGGTACAGAAAAAGCTCTCGAATTTATTTTCCTTAAATTTACGATTTACATATCTGTTTGTCATAAAAATTTGTCTTTCCACTTTTTTCCCGAGACTACGAATATTAGAGTACAAATTAACTGGTTTTGACTTTTTTCTACTTAAGAAGTAGTTAAATAATTAAGCGATTAGGGAATTGGGGACGTAAACAAAACCCTGACAAAAGCCGAAATTTTACTTAAACAAAAGCTTAACCAAACCGTCTCTAGCCAAGTACAATGGAGACTGATTTCTTCGCATTGTTAATGTAATAAAGACAGAAATTTTTCCGGTTCGACGAGAGTGACCAAAAAGTTGTAAATTTTGGAAATTTCCGAGGACACTCGATCCTAAAACAAATTAGTTAGAAAACAAATGACTTTTAAGTTTAACATACGTAGATTTTTACAGCTATGGTGAGAAACGTTTAAAATCTACAACGGCCCTGTCACGTCCTTTGAGATATACTAGTGATGCGACAAAAGAGGCATTTGACATTGACCGGTATTGGCATCCTCAGGATTTGGCAGCCCACGTGCATGCATACGCTGCAGAACCGTCTCTGATCCCAATCATTAGCCACTGGTAGGGAACTATTTGACTAAGTGGATTGTTTTAAGATTTAAAAAGTAAAGAATATTTTATGTTATTTTTATGTATGTTTCTTTACAGAGCTATATTTAATTATAATTTTCTTAAAAAGTATATTCGTACAATTGAAGAATATTTTGTACCAGGTATGTACATCCACCACACATTTTATTTCACCAAGTAAGTTTTTTTTTTAATTTTCGCCTTTATATCGTGACTAGCGATTCAGAATGCAATTGTGATATTAAAAATACATTTAGAGAAGTCTATGGTTTTTATTCACTTATCAAACAAACAAATATGAATGGACCCTAGACCATCACTGACGCGCAATTAACTGATGCCCCTGGATGTCGGCTTCTTACAGAAACACAGCTTCCCTATCATGAAATGTCACGGCACACCATGCTAGCCACGAAAACAATTACAATGCTCGCAGGAAGTTACGCGGAGATATAAAAGAACATATCCTTTATTACATTTTATATTGTACGTAAATACTCTTACTTAGTCTACTTCATTGTTTACCTACTAAATTGACAAAATATTGGTGAAACAGGAAGAAAACTTGAAATGAGATTGAAGGAGCACGAGGCAGCAATTCGATTAAAACGAACCAAATCTCCGTGGCATCAACATTGTAGTATTGCAAATTGTTATAATGTTAAAATAATGTTAAAATATTGTATAAAATAGAAAACCTTGTAACAAGACATATTATTGAACATTACTGCATCAAAGATTATGTAAATACTATTAATTTAAATACTAGCGAATGCATAGATGCATGCTGGGATATAGTGATAGAGCATAAAAGTATTGGCAATGTAAAGCGCGATATCCACTGATGAGGCTAACAGGCAAAATGCATATGGAGAACAAAGTATAAAGTATAAAGATAATTATTAATTTCAAGTTGTGATCCATCTGTGTATTTAATTTTCTCAAAGTCGGATAAAAACGAGTGGTTTTAATTCGTTTATTCATAAAATTTACAATATTTTAGAACTATTATTTTAACGTATACAATAACCAATCCCATTATTTTAATTTTTATTTTACAACTTAAGACTGTAGTACAGTCGACCCCCCCATAACACAGTAGATACATTCTGGTTTTTATGAATCCATTTTCTATGAGTCCAGCCAATCACAGCCCGGCACGTATGCATTTTATGGATTACGGCTGTTTGAAAGGTTTCTTCCATAAAATTAATCGATTCTAGACTAATTTGAATCAACATTTCCAATATAATTTTTTGGGAAATACCCATATAAACTATGCTATAAACAAAAAATTGTAGGATTACTTACCAAGCGTGCACCGTTTGACTATGCCATTGCTTAAGCTCATTTTCGTCGTGGAGCTTAAGCAATGGCATTAATGGCGCTCGCGTGCTTCCTGATAAATTATTTTTTTGCAAAAGATTTGCTGAACTTTGGAGACATCATAAATATAAATATAATTTTTATAGACATTAAATAATAAATAGTTTTTAGTAGGTCTGCTGCTTGTTTAAACTCAATGGATTGTACAATATCCAGTAATGGTCGAGATTTGACCAATCCTGTTGCGACACGAGTCGGCGATGACGTTTTACCAAATTATACAAGTTTTTTTTAGCATGTTTGTACGAATACTGTCGCAATTTTTTTCACCGTGATATAGGAATCCAAACTACAGGAACCCATGTTATAGGGGGGTCGACTGTATGTTTCTAATTTATATGTATTAATATTTTTGAGATATAATACAGATTTAATTAGTAAGCTATACCTAAAATGTAAATCCTGACATGTCTGGATCAAAACAAAACTTGTAGACATGGATTTGACTGTTCATGGATTCAAAATCATCATAGTAATACATCAAATATATATAAAAAAACCAATAAGTAATTTAATTGTTCAAACAAACAGCATGAGTGACTGGTATGGACAGAGTATCTATATTAATTATTTGGTCTGGGAGTAAAAAGATCAGACAGAGGTCTGTAGCATAACTGGCAATGTATCTGCACAAGGAGTTACAACCAAGTGCTTAGGCTTTCAGGTTTTTACATCATCTTTCAGGCCCTAGGCACATGCCTGTTAAAATGGCCTTGTGTTAAGGTGGTGTCGGATGTTGTTGTCAAGGCTTTATTTCTGAATTAAACAATTTTAAGTGTTGCTCTACTCCATTTTCACGTCCAAACAGACAATTAAAAAAGTTTGTTATTAAATTGTGCGTTCAGATCATAAATGGAATAGAGAAGTTTAGTCTATAAATAAAGCTTTGACTTCTGTAGAATACAAGCAGATTTTTAAAAATTTTAAAATTATATAGTGTCAAATATTTTTGGAGAAATTTTATTAACATTTCCTGTTTATATTCTATTTTAAAAATAGTAAAAGTTTTTACTTTAAAATTTAACAGCTTTTTTTTTTTTAATCATTTCATTATCCAACTTTTTTCTGAAAATTCCTTTGTAAAAGTTTCAATATATCTTAAATACAAATCAGTATAATATAATATAAATTTTTAGATAATTCTCTTATGCATTTAATAATGTTTTAGAAATATATTGTTAATTTTTGATAATTTTTTAATATTTTAGTAAATGAAAGTACCAATTCAAGAGTAGTGTTATGGGCTTTGTTTGAAGCTGGTGTTCTAGTTTGCTTGACTCTTGGCCAAGTTTATTATTTAAAACGATTTTTTGAAGTGAGAAGAGTTGTATAAATATCTATGCCAATATTTGAATGTGATCTGTTTTAAATTATGGTATGTATTTCATCATTCAGAAGCCATAATAAATTACATTTTTTTTACATAATTAATTGTGAATTTTACATGTTACATAAGAATGAAATACAATTTATTACAAAATTTACAATTTGGAAATGTTATAGAAATCTTAATTTTATGACTATAAACAATATTTTTTTAAGTCAATATTACAAAATTTAACAATTGATGGACATGTGACCAATGCACAAAGTGCCACTATTGCTTCCATGCCATTTGACCGAAGGGTCAACTCTGTGTTAACAATGATCACATTAGAATTGACACTGCTGCATTTTTAGGGGAGACATAGAAACCACTACGGCTCTTAGATTATTGCTTCACGCAAGCGGATGCATGTGTAGGTGTCGGATTTAGGATGGAGGAGGTTTACGAGACAGCATTTATGAAGGAATGCACACTCTACAACAGGTTAAAACAACAATACAAGGTCTGTTCAAAAAGTATCGGACCTTATTTTTTTCCGCGTAAACCAATGATGCGAGAGAGGCCTCCTTCGGTGGAGTTGTGGAGGGGACAGTCATGCACAGCCCTGAATTTTTTCCCGCCTGCAGAAAGCGTCAGTCGTTGGCAATCGGCGTATGAGTGAGGTCATGTAGTGCGCTCTCGTCGGATTTCACTAAGCTGGAAAATGACTGAACAACGTGAGCAGCGATATTACATCAAATTTTGCCAAAAACCTTGGCGATACCC